AGAGAGAGAGAGGGAGGGAGAGAGAGTCAGATCACATGCCACAGTCAATACTGCAGCTGTCATCAGTTCAGTACCAGCTCCATGAACTCTTTGCTCCTCTAAAAGGTCGTCTGAGGACCAGACGGACTCCATGACCGTGTAAACAACAACGGCAACGGCAACAACAACAACAACAACGGCAACGACAACAACAACAACAACGACAACAACAACAACAACAACGACGACAACAACAACAACAACAACGACACTGAAGGAGTAAACATTCTGGACTTATAAAATATGGGAGGACTTATTGAAAAGTACTGCACTGGTACTTGTTCATGTAAATGAGCAGGCAGGAACAGTACCAGGAACTGATTGTCATTTTTTAAAAAAAGTCATTTCACCGGTTCACCACTAGGTGGCACTACGTACAACACTATAATATATAAATCATTTTCACAGGACTTTGATTACAGTGAAGGCACAAGACACCAGTACTGATACAGATCGGTTCCTGGTACTGTTAGTCTGACTCCTGAATTGGTTCCTCGTGGAGGAGGGAACCGTCACTGTTTCCATTTGTGCTCCTCTCTGCAGCATTAGCATTTCATTGGCAGTCAGGGAGGGCACTATGACATCATCGATTAGGTCTGTGGCCCATACGGGCTGTCTGACTGATCCGTCCCCGCGGACCCACAATCCATATCCACATGTATCTGTGTGTGGGTGATACATTAGCAGACGTCAGCACGTGACGTCAACATGGGACCAGACCAGAGGTCGCTGACCTTTACTGGGTCAGATCTAGATCCAGTCTGGAGTGGAACTTCACAGAAACAGAACACTGAAACTAAATAGTTCTTCAGTCCACCTTAAATTTCTGACCTGCTGTTTGTGGCGACACGTCACATGACAGTGACGTCAGCACTGAGGAGGGAATTGAACCATTTTTCAGTCAAAACAATAACCACGTTCATCTACCTCTGCAGCCTGGTACCGAATGACCTGAGGAACGGCTCAGAACATCGGTTCTACAGCCCCAAAAAAAAGGTCCAAAGGTAACAAGTCATTTCCTGGAAGTCTGGTACTGTCTGGTACTGTCTGGTACTGTCTGGGACTGGTACTGCCTAGTACTGCCTGGTACTGCCTGGTACTGCCTAGTACTGCCTGGTACTGCCTGGTACTGCCTGGTCCTGCCTGGTACTGTCTGGTACTGTCTGGTACTGGTACTGCCTAGTACTGCCTGGTACTGCCTGGTACTGCCTAGTACTGCCTGGTACTGTCTGGTACTGCCTGTTACTGTCTGGTACTGCCTGGTACTGTCTGGTGCTGTCTGGTACTGCCTGGTACTGCCTGGTCCTGCCTGGTACTGTCTGGTACTGCCTGTTACTGTCTGGTACTGCCTGGTACTGTCTGGTTCTGCCTGGTACTGCCTGGTACTGTCTGGTTCTGCCTGGTACTGCCTGGTACTGTCTGGTGCTGTCTGGTACTGCCTGGTACTGCCTGGTCCTGCCTGGTACTGTCTGGTACTGCCTGTTACTGTCTGGTACTGCCTGGTACTGTGTGGTACTGTCTGGTACTGTCTGGGACTGGTACTGCCTAGTACTGCCTGGTACTGCCTGGTACTGCCTGGTACTGCCTAGTACTGCCTGGTACTGTCTGGTACTGTGTGGTACTGCCTGGTACTGTCTGGTACTGTGTGTTAAATGTAGATTATCGACTGACCTCAGTGACACTGATCTGTCTACAGTTTCTACAGAACCCTGTGGAGTCGGACCGGCTCATAATGTGTATTATAAAAAGAAACAGCCGACGCAGCAGGTCTGACTGATCTGTCCCTGTAGTCCACCTTCACACACACACACACACACACACTACGGTTTAAAGTAGGGCTGGGTTTTGTTAATGAATTTCACCATTTGATTTTGACAGATATTTGGTACCAGATTAAAATAATGATTTCTTCATGGTAGAACTCACAGCATCATTATATCATTATAATAACATTTCTACTGAATATAATGAACATAAGTTAAACAAACCCATCATGACAGCGCCCTGTATGACTGTATGAATTGCTGGTATTTATATTTTGTGGCCACCGGGGGGCATCGGTCGGCGTACCTATACTGGCCAATACCGGAAGTGTACCGGTAAATATCTGTATGTGTGTGTGCGTGGTTCTGAAACCGTAACGAACAGATAATAAGAATATAATTTGATACAATAATCAATAAACCAGTAAAGAATAGTTAATTTAAACACACCTTAGTTCATTAATATCTACAAACTGGAGATACAAAAGGTAAACAACTCACAGTGGATGCTCCGGCCTACACTTAGCATTAGCATTAGCATTAGCATTAGCGGCCCTTAATTACTAACCGGTAAATCAACATAACCGTCAGATATTGAACAGTATTTGAGGCAGACAACTATAAACACCTCAACTGGTGGTTTATGAACGCAGACATGGAAATAAAAAATAAATAAAAACAGTTCCAGCAACTTTTTTAATTCATTTTACGATCTTAACTAGCGACAGCACTCACCGCTGGACCAACTCACTGCCAACCAACTAACACCGAAGCAGCAGGTTCCTCCACACTGCACCGAGTGACTCTGTAGGAGCCCACTCCTACAGGGGGCACTGTTCTCCACTGATAGAAGAGTTAGAGTTTAGAGGGAAGTCAAGTTTTGTTGATTCTGATTTATTTAAATCGACAGAAGTTTATATTAGAAAATAGAGTTTTCTTTAGAACAAAATATTATTTACAGTAATTTTCTAAAAATTCCCACAAATTCAACAACTGCAGTTTATGTTTTGGTAGACCTGGACTGTAGACCTGGACTGTAGACCTGGACTGTAGACCAGGACTGTAGTCCAGGACTGTAGACCAGGACTGTAGACCTGGACTGTAGACCTGGTCTGTAGACCTGGCCTGTAGACCAGGACTGTAGACCAGGACTGTAGACCTGGACTGTAGTCCTGGACTGTAGACCAGGACTTGGAGAAGTGAATTGTGAACTCTGTGGTTGCAGGTAGAAGACCTTCACAGACCAGACAGGTTTAGCTTCTCTGCTAATGACACCAGTTAATCATGTAGCCTCCTGACGTATGTGAAGGTGTGATGAGAACAGGAGCTCAGAGGCCTTCAGCCTGAGGCTGTAATCCAGGGAGAATACAAAAATCAGACAAAGTCATCCGTCCATCCATCCGTCCATCCGTCCGTCACAGAGGCTGAGCTCTGTGTGATGGATGGGTGGATGGGTGGATGGATGGATGGATGGATGGATGGGTGTGAACCTGAGCGTGGTCAGCAGGAGGACAGTGTTGTCTGCGACAGGCAGCTGAATAATATCTGGCCTGATAAATTGTTCATGGCAATGATGCCCAACTACTGGGCTGTGGCCCATGGATGTGACGTTAGAGATCAGTAGGAAGTCCTGGAAAATGTTCCCAGTTTTCATTCAACTGGTTTGACCATTAATATCACGTTTACTGGAAAAATAGTGTCTGTAATAAAAACTAAAAAAAAAAGAAAAGCTGTTCATGTGACTCTCTTCAATTCCTGTGAGTAAAGTACAACTAAACAGGACCAGGGGTCAGTCAACTGAGGGTGAATTTAAACTAGAAGATCGATATATTTCATTACAAATACTTTGTAAATGTTTTATATTTGAAGTTAAAAACACTCATGCGTGTGTTTTATGTTATGGTTCACTTCAATAAATAACCTAGTAACCTAACCGTGACTAGCCCGATGACGTCATGTTCGTGTGTGTGAGCTGAGGTCCAGAGAAATCTTTACCGTTGAAGAAGTTCCGCTGATCAAACTTTTATTCTACAGGGGAGGGGCGGGGCCTCCTCTGCCCCGGGCTCCAGGCAGGCTAGGAGCGCCACTGTAGAGCTTTGACCAATTAGTCTGTATTTTCACACAGTTCAATCTCGTTGACGGAAACTCACACACGGAGACACGGAGGTCGAGTCCCGGCACCGATAAGTCCAGCGGCTCGGTTGTTCGAGCCCCACCTTGCAGAGGTGCCTGATTTATGAACGCCAGTCACGCCCTTAGAAATAAAAGTGTGAAGGAACAATGGGACGGTCCAGCTCCTGCACCAGCTCAGGTTCACCCCCGCCGCTCCGTGTTAGCGGCTCACCGCCCAGCCGGTGAAGTAATGCCGCAGACCCTTCCAGTAAATGGGTGACAAAGTGTCTCACCTGGCGCGGAGCTGCAGACGGAGGCAGGCTCTCGGTCTCCACTTCACCGCGGATCCTCATCCACGCGAGCAGAGCAGAGAGGCTTATTCCAGAACACGCAGGGCGTCAGGCTGTGGGGGGGGCGAGGGGGTGACGATATTAGTCTGAAAAATGTTCCTGTTGAGCGGGGAGGGGGGGGCGACCGTCAGCCTGGCTGTGAGGCGGAGAGGAAGATCAGCTGCTGAGGCTGCTGAGAGGAAGAGGCAGCAGATCCCGGAGCGACGAGCACGTCTGAGCCCGGAGCGCAGCTCCTCATCTGACCACAAGATGGCAGTGTTGTACTCTTTATTGTTGGCCGTTTTTTTAACCTTCTTGTTTGATTACGTTTGATGTATTTACATAATGTCACCTTTTAGTTGTACATGTACAAGGATGTTACGACAACAACATCAAATAATAATTAATTTTGACTTTTAATGAGTGCAGTGATTTTGAAAACATGAGGACACTGAAGAAATCATAAATACATTTGATTAAAAAATAAAATAATAATTTCTGTACAGTCTATTTACACATGAAGGAGTCAGTGGAACAAAAGTGAAACAATTAATGAACCGACAATCATCATCAACACAGAGCTGCTCCGAGCTCCAGAGCACTTCAGAAGAAGACTGTCCGTGGTCACGACCCAGAGTTGATCCTGGTCATAGGTCAGGTGTTTGACGTCCTGACCTGAACTAAGATGGACTCTCTCCCAACCGCTGCCTTCTCTGTTGTAGAAGGTTATACCAGTTCTGCAGAAACACGAGTCAGAAGAATGATTTAGATCTGGACTGAGTTCAACCACAGAACCACAGAACCGTGAACTGTCAGGAGCAGAGTATTACCTCCTGAACACCGATCCTTCAGACAGTCCAAACACCTCTCCGTCTCTCCCCACTTTGATCATGTTCATGTTTGGCCCCGGCACATGTCTCCATCCCTGGGATTCACAGGTTGTGGGTGAGAAACTCTGGATTCAGAAGAAGAAAAGTGTTGATGTGATTCCAGCTGCTCGTCTTCCTGGACTTCCTGTGACCCTTCAGTGACCTACGTACCTCTGTGAAGTAGATCCTGTTCATATTGACCCCCCAGCAGCCCAGCTGTGGACCACAGCTGATGTACTTCATCAACATCGAGTCCGTCTTCCACTGCAGCTGACCATCGCCCACGACGGACGTGGAAAAGCTTTTCTTCAGGCAGGCGATGGAGTTGAAGCCAAAGAAACCGAGGCGTATGCCGACGACCGCACCGTCTCCACCGGCGTCCACTTGACTCAAGATCATACCTGTGGACCAGGTGAAGACCAGGTAAAAACCAGGTGAAGACCAGGTAAAAACCAGGTAAAAACTAGGTAAAAACCAGGTAAAGACCAGGTACAGGTAAAAACCAGGTGAAGACCAGGTGAAGACCGATGAGTTAGTTTAGAAGTGAAACTTTAAGACAGGTGTGACTGACAGCAGCTCTGAGGTTTTTTTTTTCAACATTATTCTTTTCAAGCACCGACCCCTCACCCCCAACTCAGCTGCACCTCTAAACCAGTGATTCCAAACATACTCAAAAATGATTTCAAATTAAAAAGACACTGAATTGTTGACAGGAATTGAAGAAAGTCACTGTGGTCAAACGTCGGTCACAGCAGCAGGACGCTGGGATTCACCTGGGACGTGTTCAAAGTCGTCAGAGATATATTTGTAGACTCTCTTGGACTCGTCGGTTCCCCAGACTCCTGCGGCGCCCACCGTCACGTGCTCCAGCCTCCGTGAGCCCAGGTTGGACCAACCTGATCCAGTCAGTCTGAACGCCTGTTGGTTCTGACCAATGGCGACCACGTGACCGTCCCCGGCATCGACCCACTGGACTCCTGACAGCAGGGACTCAGTGCAGTTCCACCGTCCTCCTGAAGCTGTGAAGAAGAACGTCAGAGTCAGTGTCGGTGACGACTCTTCACTGGGACCAGTGGTCAACTGACAGACACAGACAGAGGGACAGTGAACTCACCGTGAGCAGAGGTCAGAGAGCAGAGCAGCAGAGACCAGAGCCAACAGACAGACGACATGTCTGTGGTGAAGAGAACGACTGTTTACAGCCTGGTCGGTTG